ACTGATAGCTGGGAAACCAGCATGGGACTAATCCAGACCCTATGAATGTGGGTGTCAGTGAGGAGACCTCGAAAATCTATGGGGCCCCTTGTAGTAGATCAGTACTCCTCCCTGGCATAGGAATGGACTTTGGGAACCCATCTCACTTAGAGGGATACTCTGTTAGCCTAGACACATGGGATGGGCCTAGGCCTTATCCCAAAGAATATGACAGACTCAGAAAACCCCCTATGGAAGGCCTCACCCTCCCTGGGGAGCAGAAAGGGTATGGGATAGGTAGGGTGTTAGTTTCAGGGCAGGGGAGTTGGGGAGAGGGAACTGGGATTGACATGTAAAACAATCTTGTTTCTAATTCAAATTTAAAAATAAAAAAAATTACATTCAACAACAGAAAGACTACTATGACACCACCAGAGTCTAGGGATTCTACACCAGCAAGACTTGAACATCCCAACACAGATGAAGCAGAAGAGAATGACCTTAAAAACAACTTTATGAAGATGATAGAGGCCCTCAAAGAGGAAATGAGAAAATCCCTTAAAGAAATGGAAGAAAAAATGCAAGAAATGGGGGAAAAGACAAACAAAAAATGCAAGAAGTAAAAAAATTCCTTAAAGAAGGCAAGCAAAGCCAAGACAAAAACAAACAGGTGAAGGAAACAATTCAAACAGTTCAAGACTTGAAAGCTGAAATAGAAGACAATAAAGAAAATATAGACTGATGGAATGCTGGAAATAGAAAATCTGGGTAAACGATCAGGAACTACAGATGCAAGCATAACCAACCGAATACAAGATATGGAGGAGAGAATCTCAGGTATTGAAGATACACTAGAGTAAATAGATTCATCAACCAAAGAAATCTCAAGTCCAACAAATATCTAACACAAAATATCAGTCTACATCATGACCCAGCAATTCCACTCTTAGGCATATACCAAAAGGATGCACATTCATACCACAAGGACATCTATTCAGCTATGTTCATAGCAGCATTATTTGTAATAGCCAGAACCTGGAAGCAACCTAACTGCCCCTCAACGAAAGAATGGATAAAGAAAACAAGGTACATTTACACAATGGAATACTACTCAGTGGGAAAGAAAACAAATCTTGAAATCTTCTGGCAAATGGATGGAACTAGAAAAACCATCCTGGGTGAGATAACCCAGTCACAGAAAGACAATCATGGTATGTACTCACTCATATATGGATATTAGACATAGAGCAAAGGATTACCAGCCTACAATCCACAGAGAAGCTAGGAAACAAGGAGGATCCTAAGAGAGACATACAAGGTCCCCTGGATAAGGGGAAAGGGACAAAAACTCCTGAGCAAATTGGGAGCATGGGGTGAGGGAGTTAGGAGAAAGAGGAGGGGAGAAGGGGAGCAGGGAGGAGAACATGAGGGATCAGGAAGATTGAGTCAGGGGAAAATAGAGGAGAGCAAGAAAAGAGATACTTTAATAGAGGGAGTCATTATAGGTTTAAAGAGAAATCTAGCACTAGGTAAATGTCCAGTGTTCCACAAGGATGACCCCAACTAGGAATCTAAGCAATAGTGGAGAAGCTACCTTAAATGCCCTTCCCCTATAATGAGATTGATAACTACTTTAAATGCGATTCTAGAGCCTTCATTCAGTAGCTGATGGAAGCAGATGCAGAGATCCACAGCTAAGTACTGGACTGAACTCCTGGAATCCAGTTGTAGAGAGGGAGGAGTTATGAACAAAGGGGTGAAGACCATGCTGGGGAAACCCACAGAAACAGTTGAGTAAGTGGGAGCTCATGGACCTCAGTCTGACAGCTGAGGAACCAGCATAGGACTGAACCAGGCCCTCTGACTGCGTAAGTTGGAGGCCCTGGGCAGTCTATGGGGCCTCTGGCAGTGGAACCAGTACTTATCCCTAGTTCGAAAATGGGCTTTGGGAGCCCATTCCCCATGGAGGGATACTCTCTCAGCCTAGATACATGGGGGAGGGCCTAGGTCCTGCCCCAAATGATGTGACAGACTTTAATGATCCCCTAAGGGAGGCCTCACCCTCCCTGGGGAGTGGATGGGCGGTGGCATGGGGGGTTGGTGGGGAGCATGTGAGGACAGGAGGGAGATGGAAGTGGGATTGGTATGTGAAATGAGACTGTTTTTTATTTAAATAAAAATTATTTAAAAAGAAAGTCCTATTTTTCCCCTTAAGTTTATATAAAGTTTTTTTTTAAGTTTTTTTATATTGTGAACAATATTCCTGCCTGTGGTACAGATACCCATTTTGTATCTGTGGATTCACAGAAACAGATGAAGAATAGAAAGTAGATGACACACATGTGGTTTCACTCAGATTTAAGTAAAAGAAGAAGATACTCTGAAAAGGAAATGAATATCCATCCTCTAAATAGCATGTACCCCTATAATCTACTATTCATTAGCATTGCCTGTGTTTGCAAGAAAGGATTTCATATGTTGCTGCTGCTTTTCATCAACACCAATAAATATATTTAGCACTCCTCTCAAATATGTATCTTTTGAGACTATCATTTCATATAAACAGTATTATTTTCCAGACTATATATCAGGACACCTCACCTAGGTAAAACTCAATAATGGAAAACAAATCAGTCATTAAAGAATTTGTCTGGCAGTCAGATTCACAAGACTATAGTCAGCATGTTAGCTGATAAAGTAATGACTACCTACTGTTCAGTCACAAGCTCAAGGTTTTTAGGTTTATTTTGGTTGTCATCTAAGTATAAACTTACAGGGCTTTTCATCAGGCCAAAGACACTTCTGTCCAATTCATACCTGGCTCTCTGGACAGAAGAAAAATGTACATGCTTATAGTCCAAATCTGTAGTTATTGCTAGGACCCAAAATTATAAATATGTTCCTGCTGTTTGAACAGATATCCAGATATCAGCTTTTTTTTTCTACACTGTGGGCTTCAGTAAATAAGTTTTAACTTCTATTCCTAGTTTAAACATGTCTTAAACAGGTATCTGCTTCTGGAAGACACATCTGAGTATATCAGTTGCTGACTACAGGCTGTTCCTAAGTAGATTGCAAACCCTGGACTTGCTGTGGATGTGAACCAGTCCAGCTGATATGGATACCCCCTGTCTCTGCAACAGAGTCTTCCAACAGCTCTTGGTGGATTCCCCATTGCCTAAATTCCTTTTTTTTTTTTTTTTGCTTTTGACTAGCATTTCAACCTTCCTGGGTCCCTAACTTCGTCCCAAAGTCATCAGGAAGTAGCATGGGAAAGAATATGCCACCCATTTTCCCTTGTTAAAATGCTAAGTCAGAAGGAACTCCCTTGCATGGGGATGCCAATATCTCTTACTCCCTGATGGGGACGTTGGAGAGACAGCAATTCAATGAGTGGAATTCGCCCCCCCAAATGGGGGAATTAAGGGACCAGCTCCCCATTTCGGCATCCATAACAGCAGAATGCGTGCTTGTCTGACCTTGTCTTAGTCACTAAGAGGTTAGATGCCTGCCTCGTGGCAAGGAACCAATCAAAAGTTAGCTGGTGGTGCTATGCTTTACGGCTCTGGGTGTGCTCTACGGACAAGTGCACAGCAATGATGCACAGAGCATAGCAACCACCCTGGGAGGGCCTATGGTCCATAACAACCGGTTGACGAATCAACACAGGGCAAACCCTCCAAGCCTGGAGCCACACCAATCCTGAGCCTGTGCGTACCCCTAGACACTCCCCTTACGCTGCCCTATAAGATCTCTATGCAGCTGCTTTGAGCTGTCTTTCCTAGCCATCCACCATGGTGGATGGATGGAAGGCCCGAGCTAACATGGGGTTAGCTCGTTAAACAACTATAATAAAGCCTTGTGCAGCTTGCATCAAAAAAAAAAAAAAAAAAAAGAATTTGTCTGGGAGGTTCATGTTGAAACACCCTACTTATTCCAGAGGGATATGATTATGATCTAAATTTAAGAAAAATTCCCTAATGCTTCATTTCTCATACAACTAAAAAATTAACTATACATAAAGTTCAAATCAGCAATACAGCTAGGCTTTAGGATTTGGGGTTATCTCTCTCTCTCTCTCTCTCTCTCTCCTTCCCTCCCTCCCTCCCTCTCTCCCTCCCCCAACTCATAGATCCAAACTATTTTATTTGTTGGAAGAAGTCTGCTTCTGCTATTCATATCCCACAGCTGTATTGTCCTTCATCCTTGATGCCATTACGAGATCATTTGATTACTAAGTCTTATTTGTTTAAGTCTGAAATGAAAGACAAGACACCAAGTTTCTATCTTGTGATAGCCTTAGAAATTGAATCTTGGAGTTGAATCTCCATCTCTAAAGTTGGGTCTAGCTATTGCCTGTCAGACCATTTTCATCATGTCTGTGCCCACCTCCCAATTACAGACTCCCATTTTCAACCTCCCTATCTCCTTAGGTGGCATAAGCTGCTAGGCAAGCCTCTCACATGACCCTCCATGGGTGGTTTCCATACTTACTGGCCACCAGGCTTCTGCTTATCACAGCCTGTGTTTTGGGGCTTTATCTGTAGCTGGATCTCTGTTACTGCTTTGCCTTCCTCACCACCTGCACTGCCTAGCTGTGCACAACTGCTCTTCTATCCTATCCACTTCAAACAGTTGTTTCATTTTATGTTATTTTATTTATCTGTCTATTTATCTATTTATTTTCTGAGAGAGAGAAATTCAACAAAATTAAGGGAATAAATTGGTTAAGAAAACTTTTACTAGTATGTTTTCATCAACAAAAGTGTATTACCTGCCTCTGATCTAAATTGGTTAAGAAAACTTTTACTAGTATGTTTTCATCAACAAAAGTGTGTTACCTGCCTCTGATGACACCCTATGGAAGGCCTCACCATCCCGGGGGAGAAGAAAGGATATATGATAGGTAGGGTTTTAGTTGGGCTGGTAGGGAAGGACAGGAGGGCAAAAGGAACTGGGATTGCCATGTAAAACAATCTTATTTCTAATTCAAATAAAAATATCTGAAAAAATTGTATTACCTGCTTATTGGCTTTCAACACGGCCCTCAGTGTGGCAATCTGCTCCCGTTTGGTGCTTAGCAAGGACTTCAGCTTGAGAATCTCTTCCATTAAGGCTTCTTTGTCCTTATCAATCATGGGAGCCAACTCTCGGGCTGCTGCTCTTTGACGAGATAGCTGTAAGGATCTGTCCACTGCTTTCTGCAGATGTTTGATTTGGTCCCTGATTATGGCATTGAGGTTGTAGATATTCATTGGCTCTTTGCGGATATCACTTGTATCCAAAACTGGAGATGATGGTGGGGCAGTAATAACAGGAGAGATTGTGGGAGTCTTAGATGGACTTGGCTCTTTAATAGTCTCTGTGTTTTCTTTTGAAACTGGTTCAGATGATGTCCTTGATTCTACTGGGGATGACATACCCCTCCTGGATAATCTTGGAGACAAAAGTCCTCTGGGATCATCAGGTCCCTTGAGGCTGCCACTTCGGGTAACTCTGCTTTGCCTGTAGTAGTCCAACATGACTCTGTTGGGAGTTTCATTATTACATAGACATACATGATGGTAAAGCTGTGCTAGTTCCTCACTAAATGTCACCAACTCATCCTGGGCTGTATTGAGGGTGTTGTGGTTTTCATTGGCTATGCCAGTTATTTTTTGCAACTCCTTCTCCATGTGGGCCATCTTCTCGCCACTCTCCTTAGATGTCTTCTCAAGGTTTGTTACTTGTTCATCATACATTTGGATCTTACTCTCATATTTTGTTTTTTCTTCTGTATAATTTTCTACAGATTTATTATATTTCTCCTTTAAGGCCTTAATTTCTGCTTTCAAATCAATGACCTCAGTGACAGCCACTCTATATTTGCACTCAAGGATCTCTAAGCCATTGATGTCCACCTCATAGTCGTGGGCCTCCTCTGCTGAGTTCTTGCCCTTCTCACAGTCTAGCTCAGTCTTGAGCTCCTTGCGAGTCTGTGCACTGGCTCATGCTGCTCTGTCAGTGCCCCCTTGGTGTGTTCTAGCTGGGTTTGTGACTCCTGGAGGTTGGCCAGAAGAATGGCTTTTTCTCGCTCTACCTGCAATGGTAGAAGACAATGTCTGAGTAACTTTAGCACAAAGCCAATAATGAACTCAATGCAGTTAGACAGACATGTATACATTTTAAATGCCCACAGCAGAGCCAATGCTCCCATTATTCCAAATTAAATTCAAATGTTTCCTTATTTGAGATTCTGGTAAGTCAATATAAAAATACCTAATTCATAATATGGGATTTGATATAAGTCAAGCCATTTGAATTTTTCATAAACAAAATTGAAAAATCTTCTAAATATTCTATTGTTGGCATTATGATCTCAGTAAAAAAATGGATTTGTAGGATTCTGTGTTCTTTTTTCTTTGAGAACTAAATAAATTCCCTCTGAAATTTAAGCATTATGCAAATAAAATGAAGCTTTTCCCAAATAGCCTTTCTTTCTGGAAAAGCCTATTCATAAAATTTAATCAAAACAATATGCACTGGATATGTCTCAAGCTTATTGTAGGAACAAAATATCTTGATAAATGAGTTAATGTATTTAGAACAGTTTAGGGTCTCCTTTGTATTTAATATAACATTTTCTAAAATCTACCATTTCTTCATTAAAGCAACTACAGAAAACATTCAGTAGAACATGGGCTCTCTCCTGTGTGTTCTATGTAGTTCTAAATCAATTCAATAGGGAATGATACCCAAATTTTAATACCCTTGTGGGGTACTTTTATTTTTATTGAAAATAAATTCTTCTCTCATACAATACACAGTTTCCCCTCCCTCTACTTCTTTCAGTTCCCTCCCACCACCTTCCCTCTCCCCCAGATCCATGTAAAATTTTTTCAAAACAGAAATGTTTTCTATCAACCTAGTTATATTGATAGAAAGCAACCAATAAGATATAGAAAAGTATTACTCACACAGAACTGGACATTGTGATCATGTTAAAATCTAACCAAAGTTATTTTCTCCCAATGGCCATACTCTCCAATCTTGATTCAAATTAAATATTGCAAAAACAAATTTTCTTTTAGCAGCCACAAGTAATGAGCTGGTAAAATACTGGCTATGTTAACTCTTGATTTATTAGAAGCAAATTTGCTAACAAAGTAACTTCATTGACTCTCTATCCTCCTATTTATGTATGCTATTTTTCAATCACTATTCCTGTGCCAGAAGAATTCTTTTTTCTATAAAAATAAGTCATTTACAGAGTGTTAGCAACCTTTAACTACTAATTATGCATTAATGGGAGGATGATGAGACAGACTGAAGATCAAGCCTCAAATTTAATCACTAATAAGTTTATTAAGCCAGATTTCTGGCTCTGTAGACCTACTCTAGCCCAGCGATATAGTGTGAATAACCCTTGAGGCAAAGGTGATGCTGCTGTTGAGCCAATAGCATTTCCATTGGCATCTCATTAAGGTGTGTTAGGAAGGCAAAGTTCTAAATTAAGAAAAACATAGCATGGTTAGATAAGGCTAAAAACACAGACTCTTTCATGGGACATTTGCTTGGAAGATTTAAAAATTTTAAGGACTAGCTCATGTTGGAACACTTTGTTTTCATATTTATATTTGTTTTGTGTTCATAACTATGCGGAATCTTAGCTACTTTCTATTTAAGAAGGTCTTTGTGTTTTTAAAGCTAAAAATGTTCCTGGGGAATGCAACCATTAACCAAAAGCTATATTTTCTGTCATTTTACCTGTATATAATACTTTTGAATTCTTTTATCATTCAGAAACATGAATGATTTGTCTTTTCATAGACCACACTATAATCTAATTTGTGAATTGAAGAATATCCTTTCTTATGGTGCTGCAGATTGAATCAAGGACCTGGAGATTGCTAAGCAAGCACTCTACTATTGAGCTACCCCCCAAATCATTTTCTCAAGTGATGAGAATGAGAAACTTCTTTTTAACATCCTTTCTGTCATGTCTTTCTAAAATATCATGCTTCCAAATTTTCTAGTTGAAGAATCAATATGTGAAAAAATAATTAGTCAGTAAGAAAAATCTGAGACTCAGAAGTCTCATAGCACACAGCAAACCATCACATGAAATTCATTCTTGTAGATTTAAATGAAGCTCTTACCTGCATGAGTTGCTGCTTCAATTTCTGTATTTCTGAAATGTTTAGCTCACTGAATAAGTCAGACACAGGGTGTAGGGATTCTCCTTTCCTTGATGCAGGAGTACGGTAGTCTCCATTCATTTTCCCAAGAGGCCCATGGATATGTCCATTCATCTTGTCATCATTGTTTGGCTCACCCCCATCCTCAGCAAACTTGAGCCCATCTACCGAGATGCTGATGTGGTTATCACTGAGGTTGATGTACTGGGACAGCTCCTTCCTCAGGTTGTTTTTTTGCTCTCTTTCATTTTTCAGTGTCTCAAGGGCTTCTTCCAGCTGATGCTCAGCAATCTCTTTCAGTCGGATGGCATCTTCTAGCTGGCTGTTCAGTAGCACTGTTTCTTCTTCAAATCGCTTAATTTCATGCTTTAAGCCTTCATATTCAACCTAAATTAGATAGGTTAAAGAAGATTAATAAAATTAAAATTTTGGCCTTACAAACACTCCCTCTAAGTGCTTTAATTGACTTAATCATTTAAGTAACAGTCTACAAAATAAATAATAAAAAGTGCATACTACATTCTTATAGTAACACACAATAGTTACACAGATACACACACACACACACACACACACACACATATCCGTATTTTAAAGAATAAAAATAATTTAACACCTAGAAGAAATGAACAAGTATCTACTATACTAGAACATTTTTTAGGGTCTAGTGGACAAAATTTCCATTATGTATTAAGACCCATTGTTTTCCTAATAAACAACAATAAAATATTTTGGTAATATTTTTTCAAATTTTTGAATATGTAGCACTCAAGAAAAACTTTTTCCACCACTGTTTTATTTCCTTAATAAAAATGCAGTTTTAGTATGCAGACAAACACTTGTTTAAAAGATCACAATAAGACCAAATATCAATAAAATATTTTTGAGAATATAATAAAAAATTAAAACCAAATAATGAATATCTATACTGTTAGTAGTGCAATATTCTTTTGAATTATAATAAAGAGACTGCTCAAATAACCTTTAGTCATAGGAACCACAGATGGTAGTCTCTCTGAGCTGGTATGCCTTCCTGGAGAGTCTTCCGTCGTACTAACCATATGCCATCTTTTAAAAACATGCTATCTGGGGCACACATGGTGCTATATGTCTTTAATCCCAGAACTCTGGAGGCAGAGGCAAGAAGATCTCTGTGAGTTTGAGGCCAGCATAGACTATATAGTAAGTTTCCAGGCCAGCCAGGGTTACATATTGAGATCCCATTTCAAAAAAAATTTTAATTACCTTTTTATTCTCCTGGGTATCCCTCAGTATGTCAATGCTCCTCCACAATGTTGAAAACCAAAGTCTACTTTTCAATAAGCATTTGCTTAATAAATAACTACTCTAAAAAAAACTAGAACAAGTAATAAACATTATCCTACTAAATACTAATATAAACTGTAAATTTAGTTTTATATTTATTTGTATTTTATCGTTTAAATTGAAACAGGGATTGTAGCCTATTATCACTTTCATATATATTTTACTTCTCCATTTTCCTAACCTTAATGCAATTGTTTATTTTGAAAATGTTGAGGTACCAGTTTAGTTGGGATGTAGATAAGGCTGAAATAAACAAGACCTAATTGAGAATGCCTTAGCTAAGATAGGACTTTAACTTGTGTAACAGAATGGGAATAGCTAATAAGGCAAGCTTGGAATCTCAGCGCTATAAGATCCTCTGTGAACCAAGCTTCTCTCTTGCTACATAACCTCCTACTACAGTTCACACAATCTAGGAGAGCTCTGCCATCTTGATTGTGTCCCCAGAAGAACAAAGGAAAGGGTATATCCTCTCCCTTTAAGAACAGCTCAAATTTGCCCATATATCTTTTCCTCATATACATATAAATTCTTGCTGTAAGGGAAGTGAAAAATGTAATCACTAGTAGGGTCAGACTAGTGCAGTTGAAAATTGTTAATACAATGGAAGAAAGCAACAACAGCATTAAGTATTATAGAAGGTACATGGAACACATTATGGAAGATTGATGATTAAAAGCTGCACATGCCTTTAGTACCACCACTCGGGAGGCAGAGGCAGGCGGATCTCTATGAGTTTGAGACCAGCATGGTCTACAAGAGCTAGTTCCAGGACAGCCTCCAAAGCCACAGAGAAACATTGTCTCGAGAAACCAAAAACCAAAACCCAAAAAGCTATTCCTAAGGATATTAGTTACGTATAGGACTGAGGGAAGTATTAATTCTTTACAGAATGTTCACCACCCTACAGCTGTAATAAATTCTGTAAGGCACATTAATAAAAGATGTTTGTTTTTAGGCTGAGAGAGTATCTCTCCATGGGAAATGAGCTCCCGAAGTCCATCAGTACACTAGGTATACATCCTGGTTCCACTGCCAGAGGCCCCATAGACTGCCCAATCCTCCTAGCTGACACCCACATTCAGGGGGGCCTGGTATGGTCCTATGTTGGTTCCCAGCTGTCAGACTGAGGTCCATGAGTTCCCACTTGCTCAAGTCAGCTGTTTCTGTGGATTTTCCCAGCACAGTCTGGATCCCTTTGTTGTCACTCCTCTCTCTCTGAAACTGGATTCCAGGAGTTTGACTCAGTGCTTAGTTGTGGATCTCTGCTTCTGCTTCCATCATCTACTGAATGAAGGCTCAATTTTGTCTTTCTGTGACTGTGTTACCTCACTTAGGGTGGTTTCTTCCAGTTCCATCCATTTGCCTGCAAATTTCAAGATTCCATTTTTTTTTCCGATGAGTAGTACTCTATTGTGTAAATGTACAACATTTTCTTTATCCATTCTTCGTTTGAGAGGCAACTAGGTTGCTTCCAGGTTCTGGCTATTACAAATAATGCTGCTATGAACATAGAAGAACAGATGTCCTTGTTGTATAAATGTGCATCCTTTGGATATATGCCTAAAAGTGGAGTTGCTGGATCTAAATTAGATACCAGAAAAATGGAAAGATCTCCCATGCTCTTGGGTAGGTAGGATCAATATAGTAAAAATAGCAATCTTACCAAAAGCAATCTACAGATTCAATGCAATCCCCATCAAAATCCCAGCACAATTTTTAAAGACCTTGAAATGACAATACTCAACTTTATATGGAAAAACAAAAGATCCAGGATAGCCAAAACAACCCTTTAATCCCAACACTTGGGAATCACATGCCTTTAATCCCAGCACTAGGGAGGTGGAGACAGGAGTGATATGACTAGGTGGAGAAAGGAATATAAGGAGGAGAAGACAGGAACTGAGAGCTTTTGAGGATTTGTGGAGACAGGACTGCCAGTAGACGTAAGATCTACTGGCTTGGCTGCTTTGCTTCTCTGATCTTCAGCTTGAAGCTTGAATCCCAATATCTGCCTCTGGGTCTTTGATTTGTCGTGTTACAAGAAAATAAAAGAGATGTACAAATTTACCTTAAAACTGAATTCTCATGTTTCAATTAGTATCTGGGCTAATGAACACTCCTAGACATCTTGTCAATCTTCCAAGGATACCTAATAGTGGCCTAATTAACCTCCTAGGCAAATCACATGCAGTTTTAGACACTCCACACATGTACATTCACTCCTGCCTGTGCATAGGGCCAGTAGGACTGCACAAGTAGTGGAAGGACCACTTGAAACACTTGTAATTTAAGTGAATTTGTCTCAAAATCCTCTGTGTTTTTCATCACTCCCCTGACACTCCACACACACACACACACACACACACACACACACACACACACACACACACACGCACAGACCCCTACAAATATATCCTTTTATTTTGTAAGCATATAAGGACTCTATTTAGAAAAAAATATATTTCTCAAGTCTAAATTTCTCCACTAAGACTCACTTATCTCAGCCTCATCAGACCTAAGTACCTGGGGGTCTATCAGCCATGGCATATGAAACTCAGCACACATAGTGGAAGGAATAAAGCAAATATGAATAGGGTATCCTGGTAACACTTTTTTGATGGGATGGATCAACTCATTCCCCGACCATTCCTATTTGACACCTTGTTCCTGCAACACTCCAAAACTGGAGGCAGGAAGAAAGGGAAAGGGGTAGAATCTATGATCAGAAATCAATTTTCAGTTTTGTAAATCTGTGAATTTACTTTCCCTTTTGAGTTTTTCTATTCCTTCACACCCTTAACCCTTATTTCTATAAAAGTCAACAACATTTTAGACCTAAATACCAACCCGAAAACAGGGGAAAAGAAGCATGCATTGTTGGTTGTTTCCAAATTTACCAAAGTCAAAAGTAATACCCTATCGACTCCCATATCTCTCCAGCTTAATATGGTGTTTGGTACACAATTGATGAACCTGACCAAGTGATTATAATAGATTTAAACAAGAATAGACCTAAACCTTCTTTAGAGCAAGCCCCTCTGAAAGAATTTGAACTTTCAGTTCACCTTTGCTGAATTACTTGGCACAAATAATTAATTCATAAGTGAATCAATTTATAATTGATTCACAAGTAAATTACTTGGCACAAATAATTGATTCAAGACTACAACTAGCAATAACTGTGAAAACTCAAAATACAAACTAGTTAGGAAAACTAAAACATCTATTGTGGTTTGAATGTGAAATATTCCCAATAGGCTCATAAGTTTGAGCACTTAGTCACCACCTGGTGGTGCTATTTGGTAAGGTTATGGAACCTTTGGAAGATGGAGTCTCACTGGAAAAAGTGAGTTACAAAGGACAGACCTTCTTTAGAACCTGGCCAGCTTCATGTTCCTGCCTCTATGTCTTCTCAATCTGCCAACAATGCCTTTCCTATTATGAGGGGCTGTTATATCCAAACACTAAAAGACAAAATTAATCTTTTATCCATTAAGCTGCTTTTTTCAGAGTATTTTGATCACATAAATAAGAAAGTAGCTAAGACAGAAATTGGTACCAAGAAATAAAATCATTGCAGAGGTCATGAGGGAGCAGAAAGGTTGAGTCAGGGGTAGATTAGAAGAAAGGATATGTGATAGGTAGGGTTTTTAGTTGGGGGGGGTGGTAGGGGAGGAAGGGAGGAAGAAGGGAACTGGGATTGTCATGTAATTCAATCTTGTTTGTAATTCAAATAAATAAAAAATAAACACACACACACACACACACACACACACACACACACAAAGAAGTAAAATCATTATTGTGACAAACCTGACCATGAGGTCCTTGAGCATTGGGAACTAGCTTGTGGGGAGAATGTGAAAGAATTTGGAACTTTGGGCTAGGAGAGAACTTGCATGGTGGAAAACAAAGTTTAATAGGTTGTTCTGGTAGGATTTTGGAAAGTCAAATGAAGAGAGAAATGCAGATAGTGGTGGGCTGGCTCATTATATTTCAGAGGGCAACAAAGAATCTATGCAGGAGTCATTCATATGATATTGTAGCAAAGCATCTAGCAGCATTCTGTCCATCTGAAAATTTTTTAAGGCTGAATTAAAATGTGATAGACTATTGTGCTTTCTTGATGAAATATCCAGGCAGGACAGAATTTTACATGCTTCATAGTTATTAACTATTTTTGTGTAGACCTGCAGTGATAAAGAGTAATAATTGGCGCAGAAGGGTGTTCAAAATATATTTCTGTCAAAAGCAGAGAACCTAAGTTCCAATGCCCATGTGATTTCTACCTCCTGGAAAGCAATTACCTAGGGAAATATTTCCCAAGGTTCAGCACATAGAACCTGATAACAACTGTGATATGAGGGAACTAGGCTCCAAAACAAGGTAGAAGCAGAACTTACTAGTGTCTGCTAGTACCATGTGGTACTAGTTTTGCAGGCATGAGAGTTGTAATACTGAAAGAATCGTGAAGTCTTTTTCCACAGTTTCAAAGACTTTTGAGACCAAGCAGCATGTGGCATGGATAAAGTTCCTGAAAGAAGGCCCTGAGAAACAATTGAGTGTGGTAATATAATATTTGTGATTTGTTAAAGCTTGCCTGAGGATTCAGAAAGCAAAGTCAGCCTCAAGCCATAGAAGTCAGGCACACATCTTTAATCCCAGGACTCAGGATTAACAGATCTCTCCTAGTTCAAGGCCACACTGACTACATGAAATTGATCCAGTACTAAGAGAAACAGCTCACACAAACATGATCTCAGCACTTGGTATCACATGCCTTTAATCCCAGCACTAGAGAGGTATAAAAGCCAGCCATGCTGAGGAGAGGCATCAGTCTGAGGTTTGGTGGAGCCTGGATCGCCTTTCAGTGTGAGATAGAATAAGAGCTAGTGCGAGGCTGCTTTGCTTTTCTGATCTTCATCTTGAAGCTTGAACCCCAGTATCAGTCTCTGGGTCTTTTATTTTTCATGCTACACTTGAGTGAAGCTATTAGGTGAATGCTAAGCGGTAGTGGAGGCCCAAAATATTGGAGATACCGGAATTA